AAGAATTCATAGGTTGAGTTCTGTAGTCAACTGTTAAGGCAAACTCTATAGGAGGTCAATCAAACAGGGAAAAAAAAAAACCTCAATTGAAGGGCGTGGCCCAACTCATGTATCTGAATCTCAAATAATATTCACTTCTGATCAGCATCAGACTCAACTTTTGCACCAATTCCCTTGGAGTTGCCTTCAATGAATGCTCCTGCCTGTAATGTAGACATACTCTAGGGTAAGGTATTTTGCACATAAGTGGTAGAAGGCAAAATAAAGGTTTCCATAGAGAAGGGTTCACAGGGACAGATGATTTTGAGAGCTATAGCTTTTAATTAGCACTGCTGTAAACCACAGTGTATTTATTTACAAATCTGCCACAAAATTACCGAAGCAGTATTTCTTTCATTTCCACTTATATAAACCTGGGAAATGTGTCTCAAAGGCATGTAGAAATTATTTGCATACAGATATGCATAATCAATCCTATTAAATTAGCTCCAAAATCGTAACAAAGTTGTTTTAATAATGAAAGTTTTAAAAATAATAGTGCTTGTAGATGAAGCTATTTTTTAAAAGTCCTGATTAACGAGACATATGTCAAGAAAAATTACTATAATGGTGAATGCTGATTCAGGACCTTATTTTTATTAAGTAGTTTATAGTGAAGGCTGTGACTATTTTTCTATTTATAGTGGCAGCTCTGGTTAATTACCTTGTAATGTATTGTGACATTAATGCACTAGTAAACTATTGAAATTTACACCCCTATTCAGTAATAAAATCTGTAAATTGAAGAATGCACATAAAGTCATCATAGCCACAAATTATGAGACCAAATGCCATGCATGATCACATTAACTTTAAAGAACAGAATCTCTCAAATTTAGTCATTAGTAGTAAGTGCCACTGAATTTATACACAACAGCTACTTTACAACTATACAGAGTACAACATTTTATTCATGGTTTGTTTTGTAAGTTGCTGTTAGATTTTCCTTCTGGGTACTACAAACATATTGGACACAAATCAAATACACAGTTTTTAAAAAGTGGAATGCTATGATAAACACATACATTAATACAATCAAATACTTTTTCCATACAAAATGACAGTGATGGTAGGATGGTGACATATGACATGTGAATTTAACCCAAAATGACTCATAAGTGAGAGAACAGAAAAAGTGAGACGAGTATGAAAAAAATATAATTTATACATTTTTTTCATAGCAGTTTCCTTAAAAGACAGTTCCAAACTTACTCATAGTTGCTTCATTGTCTCAAACACTCAAAACACAGCACTCTTTTACAAAGAAGACACCAAAATATCTCAGGTAATACTAAAGTACACTGGTAAAGCATCTGAAGCAGTCTTCCCTGTTATTTTGCTGAAGTGTTTATATTTTCTACAGAAAAGTTCCCTCTGTTAATATTGCTAACTATATTAACACATCTAAATGCTTTAGTTTTATATTGCTGAGTGATAAATATCAGAAAATTATGATTTTCCCATAAGAATATAGTCCAGTCTGTAAAATACAGGGAGAATTGACATATAAAGCAATAGTTCTTAAAGAGAATACACAGAAGCACAGGCCAATAATGTGAGGGGAACAGCAGTAGATATTTCTCTTATTTCCACATGAATAAAGTTACAGTAGCAACACAGACAAAGGGAAAGCGAAGATTGTTAGCTAGCATTAGTTTAGAGGGAGTTCATAGGATAATGTTATATAATCTCCCAAAAAATTATTGGAAATAAAATTACAATTATTTAAAGAACCTAACTTTCATATTATATAAAATCAAATAAAAGCCTGTAACATGCAAGATAAATTCTCTGTCTTCTTTCTCCCCTCTGATGTGCTAGACAGATAGATAAAGAGATATATGTATATATAAAATGTATAATTTGAATTTACATATCAACAATAGTGTAGGGGCTGGGGATTTAGCTCAGTGGCACAGCTCCTGCCCGGCAAGTGCAAGGTCATGAGTTTGATCCCCGGTACCAGAAAAAAAAAACAAAAAACAAAACAAAACAAAAACCCAAAAACAATAGTGTACAGCTTTTTAAAAAAATAATTAATGAAGATAATGCTTTAGAGTGAATGGAAATATTGTGTAGTTCCTAACTAATGATATTTTACACCAACTATGCTATCTCCAATGTTTCTTTTAAAATGAAATAGTAGGTAGTCTTAAGAAAAATGAAAAAAAATTTGCAGTAGTATTTTAGAAATTTATAAAAGCTTCACTTCAATAATTTTTAAAACAAGAATCACAGGGCTTCTTCACATGAATATATGTGAATATATCTGCAATGTCATTAACTATAGAGCAATTATGGGGTTCTCTGGGTTGACACCTGTGGAAGAATGATATGACAAAAACTAGCAAGACAGTTATTTTAAGGGAGAGAGCACAAATTCAGGTAAGTATATGTGGAAACGCTTGGATTATTATCTCTAACTTTACCAGTTTCAATACCTTCACAAAGGTAAGGGCCATTCTAAGTCCAAGCTCTTAATGATGACTACCCAAGTTCCCACCCACCAACCAAGTCTTCAAGGTCTGACGCATGTCACCTGTTTGCCAGGAACTTAACATATTTTATTTCATTTATTAATTCTAAGCAAGCCGCCAAGATGGCATAATTATGTTTGCTCTATAAATGACAGAAGCTGCCCAATCATGGTCTCTTTTGCCTGGTTTTAAAGCTCATTTGTCTTCCCATAAACCATAGTAATGGACATAAAAGTATTAATAATAGTTACAATTTATGTGGGATTACCAAATGCCAAACTTTATTCTCTATATTATCAAGACACAGTGAAGTTCTTACTTCTGATCTGTTTCAGCTGACTTGTGCTACTGTAACAAAATGCCAGAACTGAGTAATTTATGAAGAACAAAAATGGACCTTCTCATAGTTCTGAGGGCTGAGAAGTCCAAGATAAAGAAGCTGTCAGGTTCTGTGTCTGGTGAGGACTCTTCTCTGCTTCCAACTTGTCCTTGTTTCTCCATCCTTTTAGGAGGTAGAAGGACAGAAAGGGAACAAGACAGTTTTCTCCACTTTTATTAGGGCATTAATCCAGACACGAGGGTAGATCTATCACGATCAATACTTCCTAAAGGCTTCACATCTTAATTCTATTGCACTGAGGATTAAGTTTCAACACACATTTTAGAGGCGCAAAGAGTCAAACCACAACGTCATGTTATCTACACAGAACCCTCAGGGTCATTTTTGCCCCTTTTCCCATATATGTTCAGTCCAATGCTACATTTCTAAAACTATTTCTCATGCCCGTACCTTGATTGTCACAAAACACTGTTAACTAACTGCCCCCATCATCGTGCATCTGATCTACCAGCCCTGCTTCCCTCTGCCAGGCTTTCCCGCATCAGCTCCTCTTCTACAGAGATCAAGGTGTTTGTAGGGACCGACAATGTTAGAACACCTCACTGGTTAGGGGAACTCCACCAGGGTAAAATGTAGACCCGCTGGTAGGAAACAGACTCCGTCTTCATCTGCCTGATTACATCACGTCATTGTGATCTTTCCTCTAAAACTGCCCCTCTGTTCCCGCGCAGTAGCACACCCCCTCAGAAACACCACACTCTTCCACTAGTCAGTGTGCTGCTTCATTCTCCTGCTTCTTCTTGAGATTACCTTATCACCCCTGCTCACTTTTGCTCCTGAAGAACCTAAACGTGGGTTTTCAGAGCCTGTGCTATCAATTTCACTCTAAGTCATTTGAACAGAAAGCACTGAATGTCTTTCCAGTATGTGTCAAGCCTAACCAATGACTGGGGAAAAATAAGTATGATTCTCTCCGTCCTCACAGAGCATTCAGAAAAGAGAGAAACACACAAGTGGCAGAAAAACCTGCAGTGTCTTAGACGTAACCACCTAAGGAAGTACAAGGCACTTGGAGAGCAGAGGTACACACGGAGCCCATCCCCAAGAAAGCCAGGAAGGCTTAACTGAGGAGTAGGGGACGGGGTGGGGAACACAGACCCTGGAGACCCTGGTTGAGACGGACTAGATCCGTGAGAGACACGTGCTCAAGGTGGGCCCCCTGACTTTGATCAACTAACTGACGCTACCGAAAGCATAAGCTAATAGGCTGCATTAGCTAAAACCCAAAATTACCCTCGGGTTAACTGAAACTTGTAAAATTTGGAGCTAATGTCTATATCCCATTAATTTTGAATCTAATGAAACATTTTGAAAATCATGGATAAGTATTTCTTTAAAACCAGAAAAATGAATTCTGCATTTGATTTTGAGTTAAGACGGGTTATCTTTCAGTTTTTATGTTGGGCAACCATTTTTAGACATTCTTTAACTGAAACAGGCCACATTTTAAAATACATAATTTAATTTAACTTTTTGTTGCACTGAGAATTGAATGAAGGATCTTTCCATTGAGCTACATCCCCAGCCCTATTTTTTTGTTGTTGTTGTTATGAGACAGTGTTTTGTTAAATTCCAGGTTGCTCAAGCTGGGCTTTAACCTGCAGTCCTTCTCCCTTAGCCTTCCAGAGTGCTGGGATTACAGGCAGGTGACACTACACCCAGCTTTACATGCTTTTAAAACTATATGATTATAGTAATACTAAAATGTAGAGATAATAATGATTCCAGGGGAAAAATTCTATCAGTATAATGTTGGTTAAAACATTGTTACTATTAAAAATAGGAAGATAGAAAAAAATTCCAAGCCAAATAATGCTTATTGGGTGATCTCTGTATCTAAGTTGGTATTCAACTAGTCTACCTCTACTTGAGTAAGTCTCGATCTCTCTTTCTCCAAGCCATTTTATTTTGGCTTATGGTACACATCAACATTTCACACGTTAGTGTATGAATTAGACTTGCTCTGCCACCAGAGTAATCACAGATTTATATTCCCTCCCAGCTTTTAAACAGACAACAATTACAAAACACATATTCACAACCATCTTTAATTACTCTGTGTTAGCAGGTCATGAAAAGCTTACCTCTCACAGGCGGTCTTTCTAGCTCAGAGTCAAGGTGAATTGGTGGAGAGATATACGACACTTGTCCGTGATGGGCCTGCCCTGTAGACACGAAAAGAAATGTTAAGAAAACAAAATGCTTTTACCTCTTTTGGTTTTTAAGACACTGGACTATCTCTCTGAACATTGACTCAGCAGTCAGGAGAGAGCAGAGACAAAAATGCCCAGATGTAGACACAAGATGCATCATCCTGACACTCACATGATTGTCCGGGCCATGTCCACCAAGATCCAGCACCCCCTTTGACTAAATAATAAATTGAATATAGAGTGGACCTTTTAAAAGTTATAAGAAAAAGTAAATGTAAAATCTTGAAGCTCCCATTTCTTATTGTTAGATTAGACAGATATTCAGTGCCCTATCGACTTGCTTCACATTTTACAAACACTCCCATCTCTACTTATTTCCGTGAAGGTCAGCTGACCAACACCCAGGTACATAAAATACTTTGTTTGGATCACATTTACTTAGGTTACTTTCAACTCTAATTAACTTATATTTATCTTGAAGATTTTCTTTCATTATTTGCATGGAAAATATTCCTGTCTGCTTATTGTATCTGATGAAAAAACCAACAAGTAACTACAACACAAAAAATAGGTGGATAGATTCATTCTCTATTCCTTGTAAAGCACTGTACCTGCCTACACACTTCTTTGTAAGATATTTTTTGTCTCATAAGCTAAAGTGCTAATGTTGATTTAAAAACCAAAATGATGATTTAAAAAATTATTAACTTACTTGAGGGCCAGCTTGGGCAACACAGTGAGGCCATGTCTTAAAAAAAAAATTAGTTTAGATATGTACACACACTCACACATACACACACACACAAATAATTCTAACGCTCAGAGTAGAGATAGTTGATGCAGCAAGCAATTAAGATTTTTGAGGCAAGAAAGTCTAATTACAGAGTCAATTCGTTTTCCAAAGTTACTTTATGTAAAGAAGATTTGGGTAGAAGTGGAGAACCTACCACTTTCATTCTACATGGGAATAAGCAATTATATTTCACAGATTTACTATAGCAATTTACGGGGTTGTTAATCTCTTTTCCTAAACAAGGGAAGTTAATGATACATAGATTATGATAACAGTTAGAGTAACCTTCCCGTTTCAAGTAATATTCGACTTGTAATAAACTGCCGATTCCTCTTATGAGGCACATTTCAAATAATTAATATGGCTCCCTGCTGATAGAAGCTGCTGTTGCTCCCAGCATTTTTCCAGCCAAAAGCAGAGACAGCAGAGACACTGCAATATACCAAGTCTCTCATAACAGTAAGAAGATTATTGCACATCTACTGGCCATGTTTTAGTGGAATACTAAAGGCACTATTATAAAAGGAATAAGCTACCAATTACGCACTGTTAGCAGTCCATGTTTAATATGGTTTATTAAAAACTTCAGATTACCTTAATTATAAAACCACCTGTTTAGCTAGGCTACAAACTTGGCTGCAAAAATATTTCAATTTTTAAGGTCTTGTATTCTTACATATGAACTGATTTGAAACTCTGTGGTTTTTACAAACAAAAGTAATACACCCTTCAGTTTATACTGGCTCAAAATAACCTCAGCATGTAAGATCATATTGATTTTATGTATACTATGAGAACATATCTGTCACCATATATAACAATAGCCACAAATCATTGACTTTTATCCAATCATCACTATGGGGATTATGTACAGTGCTAATACAGTCTATAAATATTTTGAAATTAAAGAAACAACCTGAGGAGAGTGAGCAATTTGCTCAAGCATATGGGACCAGTCAATAGCAAGGCCAGCAATGTTTTTACTCCAATGTGGTATTTTAAAATTTATATCATATTTTTCCTCAAAGAAAGTCTCTGTCTACTAACCACTTTTTATTTTTTTTCTCAGTACAGGGAATCGAACTCATGATGTTGCGCTAGCCAGGCAGACACTGTGCCGCTGAGCTAAATCCCCAGCCCTCTTTCTACTAACCTCTTAAAAAATGGGTACACAGTTTAAAGATGAAACTGTGATGAACAGCAGCCCTTGGAGCTGTGCTTATCATCAGGCTTAAGTGAACAGCTGAATGTCACATTTGCTTCTCCTTCGGGATCAGCAAGGCTCCTCAAGGGTGCTCAGCTCAGACTCCTTAGGTAGCACAGATATAACAGTGTGCATGCTCCCAAGAGTGACAGGCGCATCAAAGGGGTATTAGGATGAGGACGTGGACAGTCAATTGCTGAAGTTGCTTTGCCATGGTTTGAATTCTCTCCCCAAGGAGAAGTACAAAACTACAAGATCAGGCGTGGCAGAAAAAGCCAAAGCAGTTGGAACTGACTAAGAAACATTTAATCAGCATTATGAAGTGCACATCTGAACAGGGGAGAGGGCCGCACGTAACTTGAGAAAACCCCACTCACTGTACAAGTTTGTGTCCTCATCAAGGGACTTTTTATTGCAAAAATCTCCAGCAATTGTAATAAATCACAATGAAACCATAAATAAAACCCATGAGCATTTCTTTCAGACATTATGGTAAAAATTTTCAATGGAAACTGTGATCAGGGGTATAGCTGACTGGCAGAGTGCTTGTCTATCATACGTGAGGCCCCAGATTCAATTCTCAACTCTTCAAGAAAAATGCATACATATATGCATACATACATACACGCATACATATATCCATAAATGTTCTCGGTTCTTCAAAGAGAACTTTATTAGGTAAAAATCATGGCAAACACATCATGTTTTAAAAGATTTTAGTACAATGCTCTTGGACATAGAATATATCTGTTGAAATATTATAATCATAGTTTTATATAAATTATAATCATAGTTATATGTATGAATACATTTATATATCTGCTGATATATTACAATCATATTTTTATATATTCAAATACATGGTGTGCTATAGCTACTACTGTTCTTAATTTTTCAAATTAAAAAAGTATATTTTTCTCCTGAATTTTATTTGAGTTTTAATGAAAAAAATCTTGTTGAGATTTTGATTAGTTACATTAACTCTATAAATTAGTTTGGAGAATGATGATCAAAAATATTGGTTCTGTGTCCTCTCTGTCTGTCTGTCTGGCTATATATCTAGATTTCAACTTACTTAAATATTCTTTTAATAATAGTAATAAATAAAATTTGAAGCATGCTATTTGTGGCTTATAGGATATTTCATTGGGCTTATTTCTAAGTATTCTACTTTCTCTGTTATGAATAAATTTAAAAGTTTCTCTGCTATGAATAAATTTAAAATTTTTTCTGATAACACTCATTTTTGAGTGAATCATTTTTTGGAGAGAAGGCATGGATACTTTCATTTCTTTGGTCCACAAGGTGGGAGGTGGGTCCACCTATTTAGCTTTTGATAGCTATTGCTGGAACTATTAGTTACTCACTGATTTTCCGAGTACTTTGGAGATAGGTAACTACGAGAAAAATAACATTTTAATTATTTTCTATTGTAGTTTTTCTTATATAAAATATACTTCCACATTACTATTCCTCTCTTAGTACTTGATTCCTTTGTACTGCAGAACATGGATTTTAAAGGTTGACTTTATAGATTATTCAATTTTAAGGGCAGAATTTCTTGATGCTGCTTGTTCACCTGTCCGTTTGGAGTGTATATAACTGGAGTATATAAAGATAAATAAACATGTCTATAAAATTATAAAAAGAAGAGAAGGAAAAAGAGCTTCACATTTATACTATGAAGTCTGTGAGATGAAGGTGATCGGATTATGCTCTGCTAAAATGTGTCACTGTGGCAGAAGTATAATTTCAAGGAGAGGTATCTCCACTGATGTAGAAGAATTCTCTGTTCTCCGTTTACTGTTTAAAAAGCAATGAATGAACTTCCCATTGAGGAACTGTCTCTTTCCCCAGAGCTCTGATACCAGGAGATACTGATATATTTTCCATCAGTTCTCCATTTCCTAGTTAATTCCTCACTGTGGTCCCTTGAAACCCAAATTGTTTTCTTTTTTAAAAGGGTTTATAAACCCCTCAGTGTAACTGAATCTTTAAATTTCACTTCTCTTTTATTATTTTTTAAATTTTATTTTAAAGAGAGAAGTAAATGAGAAAAAAAAAAAAGAACAATAGCAGCATACCAGCCTTACAAACATAAATGAACCAAAGCAAGGACATTTAAAGTGACACAGGGTTTCAAGAAAAAATGATAGGCATTAGCAGTTTTTGTTACATTACATATTGTTATCTTCAACTATGTTGCTCAGATCACCAGATGTAAGAATGCAAGATTGTTCAAATTATTAAAGACAATAAGAAAATAATTATTTCATAGAACATTAGAGATAATACAGACTTTTACTAGACAAGATGGTAGGAATTCACCATGGTAGTTCCTTTGCATACTGTTGTCTTCAAATCAGTGGCTCAGATTACCAGATATAAGCATGAAGAATTACTCAAAATATAAAAACTTTTAAGCATTAACTGTTCCTTTCAATATACCATCAGACATCAGCAGTACAGTTATCCCATATATATATATATATATATATATATATATATAATATATATACAGCTAAGTTTGACTTTTTTCGGTGAACTCCCAAGCATATAAATATTAAAAAATTATGTACCTTTTACCTTATTAATTAATTTTTGTAGTTTAATTCTCAAACTTTAAAACACTTCAAGGCACATAGAGAACAGAGGGCAAGTTTCCCTTCCTGAGAAAAAGCCGTGGTAACACAAGATTGGCAGGGTCTGAGTTGGTTTTCATTCATATTTATCCTAGATAAAATAATACATTTGCATGGAGAAAGGCATATTCATATATGCTTATAGATTGAGATATAATTTAGACACCATAAAATTCACTCACTTAACGTATATTATTGAATAATCTTTTAGTATATTCATGGACTTGTTCAACCCACTACCACAATTAATTTTGAAGCACTTTTATCTCTGCAAAAACAAACCCTGAGTCTATCGGCAGTCACCCACCATGTCTGTCCAATCCACCCAGGTTTTAGGCCAGTGATGGCAAACCTTTCAGAGCACTTAGGCTAC